TCAGAGGAAGTGTTGCCAACTATTTTCAGTAAAGCCTGCAAACACGATCGTTACGTTTCAAACTCTGCTCAGTAGGAAAGGACAATGTGACAACAAGTTATTTGCTTATTTATTTAGGTTTTTATTGTTCTCTATAATCTAGATTTTGAAAATATCAAGGTTTTCCTCGTTCTATATATTTAGGTTTAGAAAATTCTACTAACATGAACTTTTGGAATAAAATGTTTTAGATTTCACACATTTTTCGTTGGTGTCAGATTATTTTTTACATGATGGTGATGAAGGTAGATTCGACGCGGCCCCTGGAAATTTTTGCCCGAACAGACTCCAGAATCACCACTGTCCACAGATACACTTGTAGCTAATGTGCACCTCCTCAACATAGTAACTACAGGTCAGGGCCGTTGTTCATCTTGGTAGCCTGTGTTTTCTCCTCTGGATTTCTGACGTCGGTACAGACTTCTGATAATGAACTGAAGTAGCTCAGTGATATGATGTTTACTGTAGACATGGCTTATAACTGCTAAGCCCCTCCCCCAAGAATAACCAAAATCTAATTAAACAAAATATCATCTATTTCTCACCGTATGCAACTGCAGTTGCTGTTTTTATGTTAAACAAATATAACTTATTAACAGAAACACAATTTCTAAGTTCAATAACTTCATTAACTTCAATAACCTTACCACAATTTCATTACTTCAGTAACATAACCCATGACCCAGTAACACATGGTTTCATCTGCCACCAGCACACCTGTGCAGGTAGCTGCTGCTGCTGCTACTTGAAGTTGCGTTTCCCAGCAGCCCTGTGTCAGACCCAGGCCCTGTGGAGGAGAGGAACATCTGATTATGGCGACAGTTTTGAGAATGAGAAGAGTATAAACTGACCTGAATTGACTAACCTGTTATGTAGTGTGTTTCTTTTGTCACATATTACTGCAGTGGATGTGTGTGTGAAGTTGTGATTGTAGTTTTAATGTAGGGTGTGCACTCACCACAATGACAGAGGTGAATTATGTTTCTGGATGACCATGTGAGAGTGTGTTACTGAGTGTCCTCTTTACCATGGGCAATCTGTAATCAGTGACGAGGTCTTCGTGTGTACATACAGTGTGTTTGGGGGAATATAATTAAAGTGCGCTACAGTCTGATCACGTACATGTGTCTAGTGTTGGGGTGGTGATATTAACAGCTGAAATCTGACACTGAACTATAAATCAAAACCTACTCCGTAAGTATTTACAGATGGACCTCGCATCAAGCACAAATCCTTTTTCAGTGCCTTTGTCAGGGCCTCAGTTAGTGAAGCTCTAATCTTTAGAGTGAAATACCAAATACAGTATATTGTGTCCCTGTGTTCGCTGTTAATGTTTCATTTGGTAAATGCCTCTTTTATCTTCCTGTATGAAAAATGATTTTGTTCCTATACATCTGTTAGTATTAAGGGGGTTGCCGATTCACGTAACATTATGCAGAGAGTAGGTGTAATAATACTGCTTATTATTATTAGTTTATTTCTAAGTGAATTTACTAATAAGGACCGAAATAAACTGAACTGAAACTAAAAATGATTTTGATGACTCTTCCTGCAGCTGAGGTGTTTATCCAATCAGATGTGATTTGGGGGCGACCAGCTCATGGGGTAGAGGTGTGTGTGTGTTTTGCATTTTCCTCGGTCTCTAACAATGCTGGTAGAGAGCAATGTTTTTTTTTTTTTTTTTTTTTTTAAAAGCTCCAAATCATTGTGGTTCTCCAGAGACCCGATGAGTCGTGCTCACGTTTGAGCAATTGAGACCGAACGATTCCATCCAATACCTCTACAAGTGACACGTTTTTAATAACAAACACTAACGCTGTGTTTACAGAGGATGTGTTACAACTGACCAAAACAGAAACAGCTGACAACCCGGAAACATTAACTTTAGTTTATTCACACATCTTGTTTTTCTTACATTTGAAAATCTGCATATTCTGTACATTCAGTAGTTAATGGTGTGGAAGACTTTTGATAGCCACATAAGACGATGTATGAAGTGTTTCCCTGACTGTGACGACCAAAGTCTGCTGAGGAACCAGTTGGAGAAGGCAGTCGATGTATGACAGACTCATTCACACACACAATACAAAAACTGCTGCTGCTGCAAAATGGCATCTTATCAAAACTAGACCCAGGTACAGAGAGATGGACAGTGTGAGACATGAAACAGAACTGAGATGTGGTGGAGAATATTCTGGCACGACAACAACACTGAACGGACTCCAGTGTTTATTTTCACTCGGATCTGCAAAATATTCCTCAAAATGATGAGTGAGTCAAAGGGAGGGGGGGGGGGCTGCATTAGGAATCTTAGGATTCATATATCATCAAACGAATCAGTAGTAATGGTCAAATCAGATGGATTAAAGGCATTAGTAAAACTAGATCTGGGCCAACATCAAAACCCAGGAAAAATTTCTAAACTCGCATCTTAAATGAGACAAAAATCACACTCCTGGTTTTCTACACTTCCATCTGAGCGTCTTTTAGAGAACACAGAAGACTGTAGACCCTGGGCTGAACTTCGCAAAGGACAGATGATCCTCATCAGATTATTCTCAAGGTGGAACATACCAGAAGTAAACTTATGTGGAGCCTTCCAAATCTGTAGTGACAATTTAATATCACATTCAAACTGCTGAAAACTGACGACCAACTTAGTTGTAATCTGTCAGACAGTGAGATATAAATAATAAAAATCATATTTTCAAAATGCAGCAAGAATTAAAAAGAAAAGGTAATTAAAAAAGTGGCACCTAACAGACATATCATTCCTAATGTGGTATATCTGTATATTTTATGGGCACTTGCAATTTTGTATTGGACAGTGTATTCTGTGTCATTTCACACTGTATTTTGATTGGTTAGTACATCAAAGCTGCAGTCACCTTGTGAGAAAAATCTGCCGTCATTAAACGTCTGACGCAGGGCCACTGTTGGATTAAAGGTGTCCTGTGGAGTTTTTGACCTCTCGCTGCGCTATGCAAGTTTTTTTTTTTTTTTAAATGAGCAGGTACCCATTTTGTCCGTCTTGTTAATGTGAATGAGGACGCACAGACAATAAACACTCCAGCCAGTTGCTTTGCACTATCCCACTGACTGACAGGTGGCAGTACTGCTCAATAAACACAGCAATGCAAAGAAGAAGAGTACTCAAAGTTTTTCAGCTTTGGAAATGTTTCTGTAGAAGAAGTTACACTTGACAAGTTTGTTGGATCAGTTTAGATGCACACAATGTGTATCAGTGAGTAATACTGAATGTAAACATTGGAAATTCCACAGGGCATCTTTAATGACCCAAGATTTAACCAAATTTAACTGTCAACTTGAGTCAGGGCACAGTGTAGCGGGCAGCGTCCTCCACATGAAGTGAAGAGAGGGCTGCATTCGGAGCAGCCGTTTAAAATGGGACGGGTCGAGTTTGATCCCGTGAAACATGAGAATCTTTATGATTGTGATCTTAGTTTTTTGTAAAGAAATCTATTCCATGCAACTCCCCTGACCTCCACACTCACTTTACATTTTCCTGTGTTAACCCAGTCAAATTATTTTTTTTGTAACAGGAGAAAGATTTCTGTCGCGGTTCAACTGCATGGGGCACATAATCTGCAAAAGAACAAGATGTCCTGATAAAAAGCTGCAGATAAACAAAAAATGAAACATGAGGATGACACTGAATGCAGGTGAACAGTTAGAATGGATTTGTGAGAACATCATTTTAGGAAAACCAACTTCAAGATGCCACAGAAGTTCACTATGCAATTTAAACACATGCAGAGACAAAGAAAAAAATTCTTGTTGCATGGGTATTATTTAGACCCCTACATTTTATTTTTAATTGTCAAAATTAAAAATTCACAGTTTAATCTCCACAACAGAGTTACCTGCAAGATGCAGATGATGAATTTTAAGAAAGCACCCAACATTTCTGCCATAGAAATAAAAGAAAACACTTGATTCCAAATGATTCCTGTACAACAGAGTATTTGAACTCAGACACACACAAAAAAAAGGAAATATTTGCGTCACACCAAACAGATCATAATATTATATCCAAACTTTAAATACATTAACAATACCAGAGATCATTGCTTAAATAAATTCTACAAAAATATCTGTTGTACATGTAACATATTTACATTGACTGTAGCTTCTAGCGATTGCGTGTCAGTGTTATCCATAACAGACTATATTACTCTTATTTAAACCACACCTTTAGTGAGTCAATGTGGTGCTTTCGGAACAGATTTCCATCACAGTGCACTCACTCCAAACTTAAATGTACTACATATAGTGCAGAAATGGATAAAGCAACTTATGGTTGATCACTGCAGACTTCGATGCTGCACTGGTCACATCCAATTGTTTCTAAGCATCAAACTAAAGTTCCAAAATCATTTCAACTGCATGTTATATTCTTCCCTGTGTCCGCGCAAGTCATCAGAAAAAAAAAAGGAAATGTCAAGCAGTGTCGGAAGTAAATCTTATCCTGTGTAATATTTTTTAATAGATGCCTGATTTTGTTCCAGCTAAACCTCAACAGTTCCACAGCTGACTGTCAATATTTTAAAATTCAGTTCCAAAGCATCAGCAGTGAGCTGGCAGGACATTTTATAGACCGACAACAGACTGAATTATCTTTTCATTTCAATTCATTCCGTCAGCCTGACATGACATTGCGATGTTATGCTGGACAGACACTGTAAAGATTAAGCCCAAATTTAAAAGGATTTATTTGTAAGTTTTTCTGAATGAGATTTCTTGCTGGTAGCGGGTGGTGGTGATTGTCACTTGATAAGAGCTTTGATCATCGTTGTCTTTATAACACAAAAGGTTATAATACGTCCTCTGAGCAGCACTGCGTCTTCAGGGGCAGATTGGAGGCTACAGTGCTTCTCTATTGTAAAGTGACGAGACGGGCTAGCTGGTTAGCGTGCGAACTTCAGGAGAAGAAAAAACGTTGCAGAGACAAGAGTTAACATTGGTCTTTCTTTCCACCTCTGGAGACAGCTGTTGGTGAGTAAAGGAATGAAGTTTGTGCTGAACTCAATGTTTCATCTAGACTGGTCAGTAATCAGCTGTGAATGCTAATGTTAGCCTTGTAGCAATAGCAAAACTTACAAATAGCTCCTTTAATTCCAAACCTTTAAACTGGTTTCCTGCCCCAATAATTAAGCTTTACACTGCTGTGGACAGACTGTGTGAGGGGGTGGTGATGCCTGATTCATCCTGAGCGATCAACAATCTGGTTCTTGGAGGATCAGATGATTTCTGACAGGTCAGAATGTTTTTGCTGGCTGTTTGCTACAGACTGCAGTGAGCTTGGGCTTGCAATAAGTCAATAAATCAATAAGTCAAACAGATCATGGGTGTCCACATCTCCCATCCATGTGTAGCTCCATAGTACGTTTTTCCTTTCTGCTTTTTGTTGAAAGCAAAACTCTACTCTGTAAAACGCAGCGAGCTGGCTTTGTAGAAAGACGACGTCCACACGGCTCATCTCACCTTCAAAGCTCTGATTAATCAACTGCTTCTCTAACTGTAGAAAAGTGCTGTCAATGGGCACAACATGAGTGCCATCTTGACGAGTCATTGAACAAATTGAAAATGTGGGCGGTGAATTCAGAGGCAAAAATCAGGGAGGGAACCTTCTAGAGGTTTTTTGTTAAAGCTCAGTATCCGAGTAGCTCAACACTTTGTGATAGAAATAAATGTTTAAAATAAGTTTAACTTCCTATAGCTCAGTAAAATTAGATGGGAGGAAATAAATTAAAATATATTGGCAGGTACACACTTGATGACAATCTGAGCCAGCAAGGATAATATCATGCACAGCAACACCATGAACAGAAGCTAACTGCAGTCAAATGAGGTTTCTATTCCCACAAATAAATAACCTTTACTCACATGAGGTGGCTCCGTTTGAACTCTTCAGCAAGTGCTGTAACTTGACAAACAAACTGGACTAACTCTCCTTCGGCATGTAGGGAACAGACCTGTGGACTTAGTGATTGCATAGTCTTCATAAATGATAGCAGAGAGTTGTTAGTTACCCTCTCTTGTGCTGTGGTCGCCTTCACACATTGTCAAACTTATGTTTTAAATAGTCTTTCATAACCTTTGCGATTGGTAGCTCCTCCAAGAACTTCAAGCTTTGAAGGCCAATGCAGTGACGGATTTTTATTCGACACAAGTCTTGTAGAGTCCGGGGTTGTCCTGGAAGAGGAAGAGAAACAGTTATTAACCAGTGGAGTTGCACCTGAGAGGAAGCTCAACACAGCCGGGCTGAGAGCCTGATGTCTTCACTGCACAGACATCAGTATCGGTTTATGTCAGTCTATTAGTAACAAGAAATGAGAGTAATGGAGAGCTGAGCAGACTGCTGACAGAGCAGAACAGAATCTTCATTTGTGGGTCCATTACATGTCTTTATGGCAAGGTGCACATTTGTGTGTGAAATACATGACTTGATGATAATAAACCATGCTCCATCACCAGGATCCTGTCGCTATGTCTATCGCCCTCCTCCTTGGCCTGAAGGAGCTCCATGAGTTAAAATATGAACCAGGGCTTGTTGTTGTTGATCCTGGCTGCCAAGCTCAAACTACAGGCGTTTTGGGCCAGTTTAACCCCTATTCACCCCTCCCGACCGTCAGAGGAGAAATCTGGTTGTGGACCATAGTCAGATTTGGCCCAGATTATCTGGTGAACGGTTCACAGATCCAGTCTTAATCCTCTGGAACTGCTGTTGGTCCACCCCTGTAATATCAAACATGTTTGATATTAATGAGTTAAAATTGGGATGATTACGATTATGTCAGTCCTGGATTGCTAACATTAGCTAGCTTACTGCGGTGCCCAGTGAAACACCTGCATGATGTAAAGCATTGCAAAAGCCCTGCAATAAATATGTCTGTTTGAAGTGTTTTTGTTGACAGCTTGTGTTGATTCAGTTCTACAATCCAATTTGTACTCTGTTGTGTTATACTGAAAGCTGTTCGGCTAATTCCCATATTGTATTTGGAGGAACAAAAGTAATAAAACCCAAATTTAAAACTGGAAAATGCCACCGTCACTGTCGGCCATCCCAAAACCCCAATGGTGCACATCCATTACGTAGTTTAAAGTTCCTCTTTCATCTGTATGATTTCACAGCGCTCAGCCAAAGGCGTTAATCAGTTCCCCAAATCACTCCGACTCCACTCTGGTATCAGCTGTATGCAAACAGCTGGGAAGAATCCCCTTGATTCCAGGAAGTGATGTGTGTGGGTCTTATCAGCATGATGTGGTTAAAGTGACCTTACCACAGACACTTCTCTCCCTTCACCACAGGAAACATGCTTTGTAGCCAGATGGAAAATCTGCATTTTTATGATTTTTATGATCTAAACTGAGCCACTGAGATGAAAAGCAAATTGTCAGAAAATATAGTGCATATTTTAATAATTATGTTTATTGTTTTATGACCAAACAAAACCAACTGGAGCATCTAGTTGGCCACAAAAGTCAAATACCAGAGTAGCTACAATTATGTCTTTCCCACTGCAGGATTCTGCTTTTGTTTACATACATTTGGGAACGATCAGAAGGTGATAATTCATGTTCCAATTACTTTCAGTGATCGGTAGCAGTGCTGTGGATCCTGATTGGTCAAGGAAATGTAAGGATGACAACATTAGTCCAGATAATAAGTTTAAAAGATGAAATCAGTTTATAGATTTTTGGACAGTGTACAAACTTGATTCACAAGTTCATGTAAACATGAAGGAAACTCAATACCAGCATTACTCCCACTTTACAAAATGATGAGGTAGGTCCCACTGTCACCTCTTAAATCAGGTGCATCTAAAATATCTTGGTTTCTCAAACATCTAAAAACAGGAAAAACTCAAGGAAGAACCTTGTATCAAAACCTTGTATTTGTTGAGAACTGAACAGCCAGAGAATATGAATTATGAAAACTCACACTGTATGAATTCATACCGTCCAGACATTAAGTATTAAGTACTCTGTGCTTCAACACATTAATCTGAATGAAGGATACTACAATAAAGTGCCAAGTCTCTGCTGAAGTGCTGAAACACGGAGCCTGGAGAGCAAAAACTGTGTAATTGTCCAAATATGTCTGTACTGTATTTTGTCAAGTAAACATTAAAAAATATTAATGCACTGTTACTTTTTATTTCATGAAGAAAAAAAACATAAAAGCAAAAGTTTCAACACCCTACTGAACCAGTGCTGAGTGACCCTCCCTTTGCCAACTGTTAAACACGGGTATGGAAATATTCTGCTTTGAGGTTGCGTGGCAGCGACTGGTACAGGAAACTTTGAATGGACAGAGGGAAGAATGGATTCCACTAAATATCTGCAAATTCTAGATGCAAATTTCTCGGAGTCAGTCCAGACACTGACACAGAAAACAGGCTGGCATCTAAGCTGGAGCTGAAGCTTCAAATGAATGGCACACTTTCTGGACTTGGAACATTTTTCAAAAACTCACTGAAAATCTGTTAATCATGCTGTACGTGCGAGACCACCGAAAAATACCTAAGAACTTCAAATGATCTGCAAAGAGGAGTGGGTCAAAATTCCTAAATCAAGAATAAAAAGCATTTGCAAGCTGCATGGGGTTACTAAGTACTTGTCTAGAAGAGTGCCCAGATTTTTGCAAATGCTACAGTAACTTCTTTTTCTTCTATTTTTTCAGATCATGAAATAAACAGTATCAATGCACCAACATTTGAAGAAAGGCTCATTTTTAATGTCTGTTTGCTGCAGGGATTGTATTTACTTCTTTTCACTTCAAAAATCTATTAAATGTGTTGCTGTTGTTTACACCTGTATACAATCATTTTAAATCAACCAAGTACGGTGCAGGAGTAATAACACGTTACTCAGTGAGTCATTAGTAAAATGTCTACATGCATTATGCCATTTTTTAATGATTCGTGGATGATGACATTATCACATCTCATGTTAAAATTGAGATGTCAAACCTGACACCTGGGGGTAGAGTATGTTTAAGATTTTGCTTTTGCTTGAAGTTGGGACCTTTGTATGAGGACGGTCGGACATGTTGAAGTACTGTATGTGACAGGAGAAAAACCTTAGAGGAGCATCAGTGATGTGTGCAGCAGCTGAAAAGAGCTGAGGGTGCCTGTCATTCTGTGTGGGATGAGCCTTTCATGGCATATGAGTTAATCCAGGAGGCAGAGGTGTAATCAATAACCCAGCAGACATGTGATCTGGCTGATGGTTTAGAGTCTCTGAAAGGGCTTGTCTGAATCAGTGCACAGCTCTTTGATACCTTTGATATCAAAGTTCAGGGGGCAGTGGAGGAATGCAGCCATTGTTCCTTCTAAATCATAATGCTTCAGGTAATGTGCTCTCCTGTTCCTCTGACCTGGGATTGTTCTGTGACTGAACACTGGTCATTATAACCTTGTGTTGGCAAGCAGCCCTCTGTCACTCTATACATTTCTCAACTTTTGCCTCCTCTCAACTTACATTAAAAAGGTCTATCACTTTTTGTACTAAACTTGGGCTCCGTTTCTGCACCCCACCCACTTCTCCAGGTTTCTTTACAAAGATAAGGTCGTTAACTTTTCACTGTGCTGTGCTGCATTCACAAACGGGCCTACAACATTAGCCGGTATCCATACTCATAAATACAGTGTTCACTACAGCCTAGAAATCTTTCATTTCGAATAAGGGATTCTTCCCACGTTTACAAATAAATCAATGCAATCAATACAATTTATTCTGATCCCGTTCCAATGGCTGTTATATGAATAAGAAATTAAAAATGTGCTAATACAAATACCTCAATGATCTTCGCGTGCAGTTTTCTCTGACAGAGAGAAACGCCTGCAGTTTCAAAATATTACATGTCATGATGCACCCAGCTAAGGTGTCTGGTTTGGACTCAAAGAGAAATAATGAAGCAGCTCCGTCCAACAATTCCAGGGAGGAAGACAAAGAAATAATGATTAAAAAACTGAATAAATTATTTATCCGAAATCCCTATAGGATTTTTTGGGAGAAAGAAATACAATAACCCTATTCACGAAGTTATTTTCATACGTTGAAGGAAGAAGTCGAACATGACAGAGAATTGTCTGCTGTATTGAAATGCAGCACTTTAACTGTACTCATACTGCAAGTCATAATGTGTTGATAAGAAAAAATGTATGTTTAGGAGAAAAAAAATGATCATAATGAGCCAGATTTTGCCAAACTGGCAACTCAAATAAACAAATGCAAAAAGAACCTCAACTTGTGCATGACAAGCTTCCTGTCGTGCATATTATAGTGTTTTCTATCTATCAGATGAATTGTTTTTTTCTCATTTTAAAACTTATAAAGCAATAACAAATAATAATGATGATCATAAATTGTTATTAATAATAAACAGTTATTATTTTTGCTATTATTGTTGTTGTTTGTGTGACAGGTAGTGTGTTTGGTGAGACTTACTTGTGACCTCCTGCAAGAAGTCCAGACAAGGCCGGCTGATCCCAGACATGCTAACCGATACAGCTACCGGCGTCTGGCCCTCATAGTTCCTGGTGTTGGTGTTAGCTCCGTACGTGTAGAGCATCTGGGCACACAACACATCATCCCTGAGGGCTGACAGGTGCAGGGGGGTCTGGCCGTCTTCAAGACGCCCCAGATTAGTGTCTGCTCCCCTCTGCAGGAACATGCGGCAGTATGAGTGATTGCCTTTGATGACGGCGTACCGCAGCAGGAAGCCATTCTGAATGTCAATGTTGGCACTGTGGTCCAGGAGGATCCGTACACAGCTGGAGCGCTCGCGGATGATGGCCAACTGTAGTGGCGTGGTACCTTTGTCACTCAGTGGGTCCACCTCGGCCCTGAACTCGAGGAGGAGGCGTACGAATGAGTCTCGACCATAGTGAGCGGCCACGTGCAGCGGCGTCCAACCATCATTGCTTTTTGCATTAATAATGTCACTGCGAAACTCGGATTCCAGCATCAGTCGGGCAATGCGTGCTCTCCCATGCATAGCAGCATAGTGAAGTGCTGTAAAGCCACCGATAAAGTCCTTCACAGTGGGGTCAGCTGTGCAGAGGAAAGAGGAGAGAAAGGTCAAATAGAGCAGGAGTTGTGCTTGGAGACTGTTGGTGACATGGTGTGTGATCAGCAGGGACTCTACAGTCCAGCTAAACCCTAATCAGCCACAGACAACCTCTTTACCAGTTCACCTTTAGCTAGGATTCAAACAAATACAGTGCACAAGACTTTAGATCTGCAGCAGTGGTTCCCAACCTGTCAGCTGGGGCCCACTGGTGGGCCATGAAGGTAATACAAGTGGGCTGCTATCTCAGTCTGACTGCACACTAAAAGAAACTGGAGTATCAAAATGGATAGCTGGTTGGCAACAGGAAGAAATGAAAGGAGAGAGAGTCAAGAGACAGGTGGTGAATCCTCTCCATCAAACAAAAAAGAAAAATCAAGCTTCCCTTGTTTTCAGTTCAGTCCTGAATGTTCAGTCGTTATCACTGGAATAAAAAGTGCTCTGAGAACGTATTAATTGGCCTTCGTATTGTTACGTGGTTGGGTGTGGGCCACCAACATTTTTGAGATTTTCCAAGTGGAACATGAACTGGTAAAGGTTGAGAACCACTGATCTAGACGTGATGAATAGGCAACAGATTCCCTCAATGTGAAACCTTTAAACCTCCTTTCACCGCTCACATCAATTTCAAATGGCCAAGGATTGCATGACTTCTTAGAGAACATCAGAACAAGAGACATTTTCCTGGATATTCACATAAATATTTTGTGGGAAATCTAATTTAAAAGAAGAACAGTGAATCCAGAAAAGTGGCTCCAATGTTTCCTCACCACAAGAAATTTATTAGGTGATAATATGTCCATATTGAGATTTCATGCTGCCCCCAACTGGCCAAAAAAAAAGAAAAAATCAAATAATTCAGTATTAAGGTTTACTTAAGCCCTGGGCTGTATTTTGGAATTTCCACCTGAAAAAACAAAACCAGATTCAATCAGTAATGGTGCCACGACTGTAAGGCCAAAATGAACAACCCTGGGCTCTACGGATAAGAGACAACTGGGAGAATTTTAAAATACAGTGGGTGCCCCTGCTCCTATCACCACGCCTGAGTGAGATTTGAAAAACTCAACATAAACTGAAATTTTCATACTTTACACTGCATGTTTACATATTCTGGAGCACTAACTCTTGACCTTTGAGAAATGGTGATGTTCAGCATGTTCTAAGTCTCTGTGAGTTGATTTTGATATGAACTGGAACCAAAGAGCTGCTGGAGAATAGGAAAAAAGCAGTTCTGAACCCCTCACCACTTGCATTAATTGTAAAATAGATGTCAGTAATGTAAGTTGTAAACACACAGGACTTACTGGACTGACTGCAAAACCACTAGGAATGGTCCTTTAAGGTGTGTGCATGTGTGTGTGCATGTGTGTGCGTGCGTGTGTGCGTGTGTGTGTGTGTGTGTGTGTGTGCGTGCGTGAGAGAGAGAGAGAACAGTACTGTTAACCCTCATATGACCAACACTGCAAACATTCAACTGTCTTGAGTTGTGCGATGATATTGATGCTCACTGGTTGTTGAGGAGATAAGGATTTCTACAAATATTTATTGTGTCAGTGTCAGGGCACTGAAAGGTGATTTAAAAATATATATATTCTAGGTGACACTTTCTGTGGATGTAAGGCATTTGTTCTCAGTGAGATAACAAATAAATAGATGGCTTTATAATTAGATAAAGCCATAAAGTGTGACATGCTGTAGATACTTTTTTATAACTTGAATGCTTTCAACCAATACAGCGGTGAATGAAAGTCTGTCTTATGCAGTAAAATAATGCCCTCTAGTGTTTAGACAGAAAAACCTGTCAAAGCATAATGATACACACCAAACAAGACAAAAAAAAAAAAGCCTCTGACCTCCATGCTCCAGAAAGACTCGAACACATCTCTCTTTCCCTTTGGCAGCAGAGAAGTGGAGCAGTGTCCAGCCGTTGGCATCACGAATCTTGGGTGAGTATCCTTGCTCCAGCATCCTCCTGACAGTGCAGACATCCCCAGCTGCCACTGCAGCCTGGATCTGCAGCTCCTCATGAAGCTCAGGGTTCCTTCTGCAGTGATGGTTCAGCATCCTGTCACATTTCGGAATGGGAATGTTCATCTGTACCTAACCGCTGTTAGGAAAAATCGGTGAATACATTCTGTATATCTGGGGGAACTGGTTGGGTATGTACAGGGTGTCTGAAGTGTCTGACTCACCTGCCAAGAACATTGAACATTGTCTAATGCACACCTGAGAGACAGGTGCTTAGGAGAATGATGTAGGCAGTGAGCTTCTGCAGTCAGCATGAAGTTTACTGAGAAGCAGTGCTGCTGTTCACATGCCATGTCTGGCATTAAGAAACAATATTTTTATTCACAAGCTACAGGCCGTGACAACCAATTAAAAAAGATGTAAAATCCCAATTATAACCTGACCAATACTGTAGCACTGATAGCTATGTTGACATTTAAGAGTTTAAAAAAAAATCTGATGACATATTGGCCTGTATTCATTTTAAACATCACATAATATAAACAACCAGTTTTAAAATGTTGCTGCTGAACATATCTGAGCTAGTCGACACACTAAAATTTATTTCTTAAAAAACTGTGACTAGCGATGACCTGAGTTGATCTTAAGGATTAATATCATGGCATATTTTAAGAGATGAGTATTGATTGAAAGAAACCTGATCTAAATTCGGTCCTTTCTTTACTATATCCACTGTGTTTTGATCACCTCAGCCTGCTGGTGCTGCAGCGCTCTCCTTCACCACAGCTGGGCTCTACAGTGCAAGAATTTCACTGAATATGTGAGTGAAAATTAGAGCGTGTGAATGTATTTAGGTGCACTGTTGAGTGACTCTGAGTTCAGACAATGTGGTTGGCTAAATACATGGATTCCAACATGACTTATCATTTGTAAGGAGCAGTGTACAAAACATTCAGGCAACAGCTGCTCATTTTTAGCCAGTGTTGTCATTTTCACCAGTTAAAATGACAAACTTTGGAAGCAGCAGGTGACATCAGCTGTCACTAATTAATGTTAATTCTGTGAGTAACTTGATAACAGGCTAAAATTAACTTGGCTGTTGTCTGGTTAAAGTGCTCTCTACAAGCCAGCGTCTGTGCTTGACCAAAGATCATTCGTGAGGGAAGAAGCCCCACTCTGTAATACCACTGTATAATAGTGGACTGACATACAACGACACTGCTATGTTCATCGTAAGCTATTATTGGCCAACACACAGGCTCAGCCAATTTACACTGTTTCTACATCACTTAGCGAGTCCACTAGCTCTGCTATGTTCAGGAAACACTTGAACTTTCAGGGGGTACTGTGTACTAACACAGGTTCAGCTGAATGGCAGATAAACAGCAGCTAAACTGGGTGTATGATGATGTTACATTAAAATCTCTGCCCAACAGAGCACTGGTACTCCTCCGTAATGTTTTACATTCAATAGAAACTAAAGCTTCAGGTTTCAGTTTTATGATTTTTCAGGGCAACCAACAATATCACTAACTGCTACAAAAAACTGAAGAACAGAACAATATGCAGTTTGTTGCAACTGCAGAGGGAATTAGTCTTTCACTACATGTATGATTTTTTTCCCTGAAGCTTGTGTCCTTGGTTGACTGAATAGTTTTTGTGGCATCTACCTGTGTTAGTTAGTACAGGATTAATGGGAATTGACCTCTGTCTTAGATGATCAGTAAGCAACTTTTTGCCTCAAACATGAGAGCATATAAACCTGTGTTGCAGCCATCCTCTCTGGTCATGAAGTCTTCACTTGACAACAGTTGCACAAATCTTACATATTGCCCCTTTAAAGTTCAGCTTTAAGGTGTGCAGCAGGTTTAAGGCAAATCTCCATTCCAGAGACTTCTAGTGGCATTAAAGTGAATTGTAGTAGCAGCTGGATTTAGACTAAAGCACAAATGATAATTTTGTGTTCGCATAGTTATGAGGGTATATGTGAGTTTTGTCATTTTTCCATGTTCACAAAGGTACGACTGTCCACAAACTGCCAGAATTTATGGCCGCATTAACTTCTTGTTTGGCTCTTACTCACTGACAAATATGTGCGAACACATCAACAATGCAGACACCCCGTGCATTATAACAAAACCACATCTGTTGACCAGGTAGATTTTGGACTATATCCAGCCCCTAAACAATAGGTGCAGTTTAAACCACAGGTCCTGAGGACACATGATTTTGTTCCAAACCCTGAATTTAACCAAATTGAGGACGGAGCAACAGCCTGCAGAAACTCAAATTAGCAAGAAATTATTTATTTTGTTCAAATATTTGAACTTCTCTTGTTGACCACTTTAAATTAAAAGGATGTAAAATAAAAACAAAAATCTACCTTTTGACCAGCTGAAAAGATGGGCTTCTCTTAGTCATATCGGAGCTGCACCAGTAATTATACAGCTGCACCGTCAGGGAGGCTGAGAAAGAAATAAGAGGCACTCTGTCTTCAATAGTTAGTCCTGCAACACACACAAAAATGAACATTTCATCAATTTCGCAATTAACGTCAGACAAAATTGTGGACTTGTTACGGATATACTACTACTACTACTACTACTATCACCAATAATAATAATAGTAATAATAATAATTCATAATGTGAAATGGCAGTTATGTCAAATGAGATAAATGAGATGTCAAATGCACAACTTTCTAACTTAAAAAGCTCTGATTCAAAATTAGCGACCACCTCATTGTGACAGCCAAATGACTAAAACGTTCCAACAAGGCAGAAAACTCTACAGCATGTCCGGTCATCACATTCAACACTAATTGTTTAGTTGGTTAGCTCTTAACCGGTTGGAGAAAACTGGACAATAGAATGGCTTTATTTGCTAACATAACCAACAATGCACAGCACAGACAAGTAAACAATATCGATATGTATCAAAAGCGGTGGTTGCCAAACGCACAGATGAAGAAAACTCGTCTCACAGATTACACTAAATGGAATGAATGCCTAGACTCTTATTCAAAACCACTCGATTTCAGGCTATATTTTTCTTAGGCTGCTAGCTAACGCCAGCAAGCTAACAAATGCACTAGCGCTAGCTCGCTAGCTTCTGTTCACTTTTTGTACTGGCACAGTTCGGTACACATAAACCACCACACACCGGGTTAATGGATATTACAGTTCATTCTACACATTTACTGACAAACACAACAACTTTAAACAACTATTAAAAAAAAGATTTACTTGACAGACGCTGAGCCGACGTTCAAGCCAATCAGCTTCCAGGTGGGAAGAATTGTCAAAGCTGCATATTTCTGTCGTTTCGACTCCAATCCAACACTAATTAGTAATATTGACTTTTGAAACTTCCCTTTATGTCCGTTTAAGCAATGTTGAGCATCATTTCGCTGTTAAACAATCAGCTTTAACAACAAAGTCTCTCACTGAGCACATCAGTGTGACCCGATCAGCAAAAACAATAAGACTTCCGACTACAACCTTTCAGAATAAAAGTATAATTTCTACAAATCTAAAACAAAACGTACACATGCAAAAAAAAGACAATATAGAAAGAAAAAGAAAAAAAAAAAAACGTGTTCGTATATGAAAACGTACTTTAGGGTCGCAATACATCTTTCTGTGCCATTCCAGACTAAAACTTGCTGAACTAACCTACTTTCAAAGCAGGACTAGACTGATGAAACTAAAATCAACCTCTAACAAAATGGTGAGAAAAAGAAAGGGTGAAGAAAAAACAGCTCATGCCAAAAATCCACAACTGCATATGTCAAACATCTTGGTGGGTCTGTTATGGCTTGAGCATGTATGTCTGCAAATGGAACTAGCACACTGTCGTTTACTGATGATTTCACTGCTGATGAAAGCAACAAGATGAATGGAGAGGTCTACAGGAGCATTATGTGCTCAGGTTCAGCCAAATGCATCAGAACTCATTGGTCACATGGTCAAAGCAACCAGAACATCATCAACCAGGTTTAATATGCAGAATATCACCACACATAAAGTCACGATGGTGAACACTTTGATACAGGAGATGGCGGCACATTGTTCCTCCTTCACTTGATGTTGCATCACTGCATTTCATCTTCCCAAATTTCCAACTCCTTTAAAGATGTCTAAACTCTTTTTCTCAGAAAACCAAACAGCCATTTCTTTACTCTCCACACTATCTCCACATACTTTCTAAAATACTTTCTACACTGGTTTCTCCTCATCCTATTTTCTGTAACTGTGTAATTATTTGAGTCTGACTTCTATATATATTTTTTTTACGTTATAAGAATTAACTCTACTTTTTCATTCTCATGACACTGATCATTATTATTTGCTGAAATGAAAAGTATAAAATTACTGTTGCTGTATTCAATTCTCAGTCTGCTTATCTACTCTTTCCTGTTTCCCTCACTACTTCTTACCACATCCACTCTATTTAAGTTTTGAGTCTATTCCTCCCTCCTTTTGTTGTATCATCCTAATAATATTGCCTCTGAATTATCTCCATTTTGAATGTCAACATTTTCTGTTCTGACCACTTGTTTTACTCTTTACTTTGATTCGTCATGCACCATGCAAACTACAAAGGAAGAAAAACACACAGAACATCAAGATGGTAAAACATTACTAGTATTCAGAAGAACAACAATAAGCATGTTTAATATATTTTGTGTTCATAAAAATATGTAAATGTGTTTTAAAAAGAATACTAATTAGATTTAATAACATTTTAGTTTTCTGATGTTTATATGGAGAAAAAAAATAAGTGTTAACAACATCATAACAACATCTATGAGAGTGTTTTTTTTTGGTGTTGCATGTTATGAATTAAGTATTTGAAGTGTAACGTAATGTGAATGTTTAAACTTAACTGACATTTGTAATTGCTCAGGGAAGAGTAAAATACAATACTGACAACCTCCAAAACAAATTGTCTTCTAATATTTTACATAATTTTTCACCATGTGGGAGCTGTGAACAAAAAGAAGATATACCTCCCTGTCTGATAACAGGAGAGTATTTGAAGACCACTGGGTGACAATAATCAACAGCAAAAGACACTTCTTTACACCTACTGGACGGACTTCCTGTTCAGCGGCCTTTACCTTCTACATAGAGGCTATGAAGAAATGGACACATGGAAAAACACAGAAGATTTGAGCTGAATATTTAGACAGACATCAAATACAAATAACTTGTTAAGGATAACTTAACTTAAGTTGAATGGGAAGTCAAATAGATTATTTATATATACTGTAGGAGACCTATCAACAATAAATACATGCCATTTTAAACTTACAGTATGATGGAAGTTCTGATTAAACACTGCTGTGAAGATCAGTCCAATGGAATACCATAATCCAGAAATGGATAAATCTGTATTGAGTTTACAAGAGGAATTTGAGATGAAATTCTATGAGAAGATTGTAAGGTGGCAGGGTTTTGAATCAACAGATCCAATGTTGAATCCAGCAGCAGTTTATCACAAGCCCCACCTCCTCTGGGAAGAGAACCCTGTTTAATGTCCCCATACAGAAATGTAATATATGACATTCATATTAGCCTACTGCATTTGATGTTTCTATGATGTTCTACTGTACATCTCTTCAATGTCCTACTGATTTTGTGTACATATGATTTACCACATGGGATAGTAGGCCTAATGAAATAGATTACTACTTTTATGTTGAAACCCCTTAATACGGACAATTTTCAGTGGTACCTGAAGCAGCACGGAGGTGGTTTCATGGCTTGTTTATATTCTCCTAAAAGCTGAGACGCTGGAATAGTTTGAGATAATTATTTCTTAAAGTAGATCACTGCCATACAGGTATTGTGTGTAGAGCATCCCCTTATTGAAAGCCAAAAGGTTCATAATTCGTCTCAGGTTCCACGGGGCTTGACGTATTTGAACGCCGTTCTGAACGCCACCAAGGCGTTTATTAAGCGCCCGGTGGCGCTCAAAGCGGAGTTTACAATACTTCAAGCGCCGTGGAAACCGAGACGAGTTATGAACCTTTTGGCTTTCCATATCCCCTACCGTCGTAACCCAGAAAAACAAGCAGTGAACATGAAGTTACCTTACTAACCCCAAATCCGGCTTCGTGCAGGCCCAAGAACAACATGGAACGAGCTCAAATGTGTTTTATTTTAAAGGCTCAAGTGGCCTACATCCGGTCTTCGGTGTTAGTTCTCGGTGATTTGACTTAGCTTCTTGACCCATTTGTTGTAGTGCTGCTTCCGCGTGTATCATATGGCAGGGCTACACGGAAGAGGCACCATCATGGAGCACACCGGGAGCTGCAGAGAGCGACTCACCACGACCGAGTGCTTTCACGGGCTGACAGATGCGTACAGATGTTTTCTTACGGGGTCAAGTCCCCGCCAAAGTGCTGCAGATATGGCGGGTGTGATATTTTGTGGTGTGTGTGGACCGGTGCCCGGTGAGAACAGAGAGCGTGCTCCTGCAGAGCGTTGCCATGAGAACGTGGTGGAGCTGACCTGCATAAGTGTGAGTCTGGTGGAGAAGATGAGCTGCCTGGTGTCTCAGAGCCAACCTCCAGAAGTCACGGTGTACTGTGGTGAGACTCTGAGGCTGCTGTTTGAACACATGGATCTCATGTCACAGCTTGTGAGTCCCACACTCTCCTCAGGCTATGACAGCACAAATATGTGGATTTACTGTGATAAACACAGTCACGTGAACTATAACTGCTCCACAGGTCCGTCAGTTCCAGAGTGAGGAGCACATTATCTCTCATCTGGCAGCAAAGAGTGTATCATCGTACGTTGTGTATAATCTCCAAAAGTCTGTGAGTAGACCTTTTTTTTTATGTGCTTAGGAGCACTTCAGGATCTGTGGGATACAAGCCCGGTCTCAGTAAAACATTTCAATATAATTACCTACTCTCAGAATAGACACATTAATATATTAAGATTTACAGATCTTCATTAGACAGTCACACACTCAACTGGGGGGATACAAGCTCAGTCTGACTTGTTCCCCCGGTAATGGACTTTATATAGTTGTATTGTTACCTTGGTAACCTAGCACTAAATATGAAAATCTAAAATAACATCAAGAAAATATAAAAATGACACAGTCACTTAACAACAAACAAAGATAAAAGTACTGACAAATTTTAATTCTGTATTAGAAGATTTTGCTATTAGATAAAGTAACCATTTAAAGCTTAAATTATGTGTGTAATGTAACATGCTAGAGACACATGTTACATATGCTGTACTCTTTTTGCTCTTTGGCAAACTTCAGAGTGAGTTGTTTCTGGAGAGCAACAGCTTCCTCCATGGTGTCCTGCCATGGACACCTTGCCTGTTCAATGATTTTGCATATGGTAGACTCATGAACAGATGTTAACCAGGACTCTTTTAAGCCTTTAGTTGTTACAAAGCCAAACTACATATGTGAAAACAGTTTTGAAGATTATCTAGCTGCTAGACTAGCTGTTAACTGGAATCAATTAACTGGAATTGTACATCGTGTCTCCACTGTCAACGCTGTATTCACATTATGTAGCCTTTATCAAATGACATGTCCTTTCTTAGGAGCTTCCCCATGAATTTACAGTTACATATGAACTCCTTACTAGGAAATTATGATAAAGTATGAGCTCTGTACATTACAGTCCGCCTATTCAGTGTTTATTCCTCACTGGTTTAGAAAATAACCATTAGATAGCTACAACTTATTCACATGCTGCCGCTTGGGTTCTTACTAAAACTAAGAAAAGAGAGCATATTACTTCAATTCTCAGGTCTTTGACTGGCTTCCAATCAGATACAGAGTTGACTTCAAAGTTTTACTTATTGTCTATAAGTCACTAAATTGTCTGGGCCATAAGCATATTTCACACATGTGTTTATGAACCCAATAGGTCTCTAAGATCTGCAAGAGCTGGTCAGTTAGTAGAGTCTAGAGTTAAAACTAAATGGGGTGAAATGACTTTCAGCCATTATACTGCCCACTGCTGGAACCAGCTCCCACTGGAGATCAGATCTGCCCAAACTGTAACTGGCTTTAAAAAGAAGCTAAAAACTGCTCTATTCTCCTCTGCCTTCATCTAATCTTTAATCTTGCACTTTGATGAGATATTATCTATTTTATAATCTGTGTTTTTATACTGTTTTCATACTGTTTATTATTAAAATTTTCACTTCTATTCTACTTCTGTTAAGATGCTTCTTTTATATCTGTCAAGCACATTGACTGACCTCTGTGTTTGATAATATACTATACAAATAGATTTGCCTTGCCTTGCCTTGCCTTGTCTTTATTCTCATGGGTAGGTGCATGACGCAAATGATGCATTGTCAGTAAGATCATGCAGAGAGATTGGCCTAAAGAAACTAAACTACACACTCAACAACAATGTCTACAAGTGACTCAAAATGGAGAATTATGCTGTATAACAAATGTTTTAGAGTATTTTTTTGTTTTAGCAATAGAAACCCTTCAAGGAGGGTGATTAACTGGTTAGTTTTGTAACTGTACATCTGGGTAACTCACCTCTGAGAGCAGTGCACAGCTACATCCTGGCTGTTTATCTGGGACTGTCTCCCATGCAGTGGATGTGGCAGTCCTGAACAGGGCTGACGTACTGTATTGTTCAAATGTTTTAACATTATATGTGTTTACTACATTCTTTCATTTCTCAGGGAACAGTCAATCTTGTCTGGCAGCAGAAGTGTGTTCAGACATTTCACAGCTCACCCCCCGGTCCTGAATTGGACGCCTGTCTGTGGTCACTGACTGAGGTCCTAAAAAGACTTCTTAAAGCAGCTCATCAAGGTAAAACATGTTGGTTTTGTGCATTCAATCTGAGCAGAGGCTGACATTCATTTAATTCACATCTGAGTCACAACCATGTGTGAACTCATAACATGGTTTTTTTGTTTCCCTGATTCAGGACTTTAACCTGCAGTCTTTGCTATATCTCAGAGCTAGGATGACAGTCGCTTTAAACATATTGTTCATTAACATATATGTCAAAACCAATATATCTATGCAGAAGGATGGGGGTCACATTCCTCCCAAGATATGAAATACAGAAATTTTGAGCAGGAATGTCATTAGATCCCCAAAAATCTGAAAGACAGTTAATTAGTACCCCTTAGTAGTCAGTGTTAAACTTATCCAAAACACAGTGGAAGTTGTAGAGCTCACTGAACTCTGCAGACAGACCTGGGTATGTGGGCATCTAAATAGGAGGCTAAGGTGCATGTATCCTTCATGGAAGGTCTCTTCCATTAAAGATGTTACAAACCATGTAAGAATGATTTCTTTCTTGCTCACAGACTTGACCTGCTCAGTAGTGGTGCGGTCAGCACTGACTGGGGGCCCAAAGAGATATGAAAGAGACCTATAGGTTGCTAAAAAAAATGTCCTACCTTCAAGTAAGCGAATATTTACAGCGTTGTTTAGAGCTGTTTGCTCTTTCAAATGTCCAAGTTGTGGGAGGTATGAAGGCTCTGGATTAAGGCTTGTTTCAAACCTGAGTCATTTTATTTAATGTTTGTAAGTAGTTGAGCTTGTAACAGCAAAAGCAAAAAAAGATGATGATCACAGGTATCTATATACAGTATATACTGAATTCTCTGATACCTTTTATTAGAAAGGCTGCAGGTAGGAGGGGTGAACTGTTCTCAATAACTGGTCAGCAGTCACTGCCATTGTTGCTTTTTTGTTTGAAGTCCCATATTAAGGATTTACAAATGAGCTTCCACATTAAGTGTTGCTATATGATGGGGAAATCAAATGCACATTAAAATGTATAGCTACAGCTAATTATTATTACCATTAACAGTTAATATGTTTGGTATATTTTCTATTAATGAATTGTTTAATCTTCAAAATGTATTTTTTTCCCACTAAACAGTCAAAATTTCAAAGATTCAGTATCTGGTTTACCCATAACAAAAAGACCAATATGAAGTCCAGAGTAGAGGAACCCAGCTTCCCTGCTTGTTGTGTTGTGGTGTCTAATGTCTCATTTTGAATACATGTGTTTATTCCATCAGAGATCCTCGGGAAACTTCTGGCAGCTTTTGACTCCAGCCTGTGTGCTTTGTGTTCAAAGTTTCTCCCTGACAAGAGAGAGGAGGTAACACAGTGTCCGGTGGATTTTACAAGCAGCAGCCACTGGGGAACTACATGCTGCCTTCTGCTGGACCTGCTGGAGGCACTGACTGCATCCAGTTTGATATGTGACGCAGGTCTGAAGAGTCAGAGATTAACCCACATTCACTCCTCAGCACTCCTGACTACAGTCAGATGCTCCTCAGAGTATTTTGTCAAAAAGCGAGCGATGCTGCTTCTGAAGAGAGCTGTGCTTCAGAAGGCTGGAGAGGACTGGGCGCTAGGAGACGTGCCGTCTACTGGGCCGAAATATGAGCACTTTAGCTCTGATATGAACACGCTAGCTGAGACTGTGTTAACTGCAGTGGTTGCTAATTGGTTGGAAACCGTTCAAGTGGAGTCTGCTTCTTTCTTTGGGGGGACCAGATACATCCCAGGTGATGATGGTCAGAAACCAGACAGTGTGATGCTGAGGGCTGTCAGCCTGCTTCTTCTCAAGTCCATGGAGCTTCATATACAAACAGCTCAAATAGGTGAGTATCTATAATGAAACACAACACTGGTACACATAGTTATGTACAGTATGTGTTTTTTTGCTGAGTTAATGTCGTGGGAAGAGTTTGTATTTGTAAGTTTTCTCTGCGGCTGAAGGTAGTTTCTTTGCGGGAGCAGGGGGTGTTGATTGTCATTTGACGGAGCTTCAGACATTGTTGCGTTTACAAGACCAGAGGTTATAATACTGGAGGCTGCAGTGAGTTGCTATCGGAAAGTGACAAGACGGCCCGGGGCTAGCTGGTTAGCGTGCCATCTTCAGTAGAAGAAAAGACATGATAGAGACAAGAGTTAACATTGGTGTTGGAGATGGCTGTTGCTGAGTAAAGGAATGACGTTTGATGCTGAATTCACAGCTGTTAATGCTAACACTAGCTGTGTAGCAGTAGCAAAATTTACAAATGGCTCCTTTTAGGGGATTTGGTACTTGAGAGCAAAGAGTTTAAAGTGAACTTTAAACCAATGTAAAGTGTCAAGACATTTTGTTTAAAGCAGCATTAGTTTATTTTTTTGGTTTGCTACTTGGGGGGAGCAAACACAACATGGACATACTATATTATCACCATATAAAGTTGATATTTGAACTGAATTGGCAAAAAATTATATATAGATATATTTCTCAGAAGTAGGTAGAGATCAAAAGCAGAATGGAAGACAGTGAATATTGATCTTGCATTCATAACATGGTCAAAAACGGAGTGGCTGAAAATGATTGATAATGTTGCTCTGCGACCGCTCGATGTATAAATAAGCAAATGTTTGCTAACAAAATTGCCATCATCTTAAAAGAGCTATTGCTACATTGCCAACATTAGCATTTGTCACAAAACGGGCCACACAGCCATGACAAAAGAGGGAGATGTACACAAACAAGCCAATTAACAAATGTTAAATCTAGAAGAAGAAGCTAAACTAACAATGGCATATGTAATCTGTAAGATCAGCAGTGTAAGTGAGTGCATGAGTGAAGAAGTGTGTGAATGCAATGTTGCATGATGCAGCAACAGAAACAACACAAACCAAAGGCCAACCAAACCAAACAGGTGCCTCCAGGAGGAGAGAGAACCAGAACTAGCACTAGCAAACAGGACCCAGGTGTGCCAGGTCTGCTGATGAGCCCAGGTACAGACAACCCTCTGCCACACCCACCTCTAGTACCTGTAAAGGAAGCAGCCACACACAGGAAGCAACAGGTACACAGGTGGAGAGGGCTGTCACACATTAACAGCTGTTTACTCGCCAGTCCAGAAAAAACTTCAGCATCAAACTGCATTCCTTTGCTCACCAACAACTGTTGAGGTGGAAAGAAACACCAATGAAAACTCTTGTCTCTATCACATGTTTTTCTTCTACTGAAGTTAGAATGCTAACCAGCTAGCCCTGGCCCAGTCGGATTTTCTTGATACCAGGTCACTGTAGCATCCAGTCTGTCCTGAAGAAGTAGCTGCTCCGAGGACATATAACGCAGCAATGGCTGAAGCTCTTGCCAAGACTGGTAAGTAAACAACTGTTAATGCTCACGCTAGCAAAACGTACCAATAGCTCCTTTTAAAGGTGATGATATCTCAGTGTCGTGTTCACAGCTTCTACTGCCTCCAAGTGGCAAAAATATCAGCTATTGTAAGATTCTGGTAATCATGATCTGTGATCTTGATAGTTATTTGTCTTTTCAAACACTTGTTTTGTTAAAGAGAGTAGTGCTTCTATTTTAGGTGAGTATTTATGCCTTTATTTTATGTCTATTTTTTGATGAAAGCACAGGATGTTGCCAGAACAACAAATTAAAGAGAGCCTGTCCAGACACTGTAACAGCAGCACACGACAGCAGCAGTGTCTTTATGAGTCTGTAATGTAGCAGGAAGAGGAATTCTTGACACCCTGTGTTACAGTGTTTCCACAGCAGGGGGCGGTCCTCTCACATATGTGTTGAGTGACATATGCTGATACCCTCCCTGTGTCCTGTCACAGCAGAGGTGGACTGTGCCATAGAAGTTAATGGGTATCTACAGAGTCTGTGGGGCTTCCTGAGGCGGTGCAGTGTCCAGCTGAAGGAAGCCACTCACCTCTGCTCCTGGGTCAGCCTGCTGTTTGGAGAACAGGATGATGACATGATGGAGGCAGCCAAAGCCTTGCTCTCCATATTCCTCCATCACAGGTACAACAGATGAGTTATTTATTTTCATCAACATTGCATACAAAGTTAATAAGAAAAGATGTTTGGCTGATATGTATCTCTGAAGGCTGATATTTATTGTAGGCCTACCATTTAGTGTCTTTAAAGATCCTCTCAAGACATGTTTCAAGACATAAAATACTATGCTCTAATTGATTTGTCTGATAATGGGTTTTCCACACACATGTTAAGGTACCTCATTTTATATTATCAAAATTCTAACTCATTTCTCTCTTATCACTGAGAATAAAAACATTGTACTACTCAACTAAAAAAAGTCTAGTCTTGGTGGATGTGTTTTGTAAGGTTTTAAATTTCCACATCATCTTGTGTTAGTTGTATATTGGACCACAACTGGCTTAAAAACGTTCACTTCAATTCAATTTTATTTGAAGGTAGAGGAGAATAGAGCAGTTTTAGCTTCTTTTTAAAGCCAGTTACAGTTTGGGCAGGTTTGATCACCTGGGGGCTGGTTGCAGCAGTGGGCAGTAAAATGGCAGAAAGCCATTTCACCCTGTTTAATTTTAATTCTAGACTCCACTAACTGACCAGATCTTCTTCAGATCTTAGAGACCTGTTGGGCTCATACACATGGAACATGTCTGAAATATGCTTAGGGCCCAGACCATTTAGTGACTTAGACAATACGTAAAACTTTGAAGTCAACTCTGTATCTGACTGGAAGCCAGTCAAAGACCTGAGAGTGGGAGTAATATGCTCTCTTTTCTTAGTTTTAGTAAGAACGAGAGCAGCAGCATCTGAATAAGCTGTAGCTGTCTAATAGTTATTTGGCTAAACCAATGAGGAGAGTGTTTCAATAATCCACTCTGGAAGATATAAAAGCATGAATGAGTTTCTCTGAGTCTTGATTGACACAAGGTCTCTGACCCTAGCTATGTTTTTGAATTTGTTATAGCTTTGATGTGGTCACAAAAACTAAGATCATCAGCTGTTGCACTACAGCTATTCTCCAACCATGTTTCAGTTAAAAACATAAAATCTAACTGGTATGTGGAAATAAGATCATTAACTAAAAGTGCTTTGTTGGCAAGTAATCAGACATTAAAAACTGCTAACTTTAAATTATAGGAAGAGCTTGGAACAGTCTGAGGTTTATCTAAGGCATGAACCGACATTAAGCTTGATGTGTTTACAGAACGTATAGAATGCTGCCTGTTTACTCCACTTTTTCTGTTTCTTATCAAGACTATAATAGACAGCAACAGTCAATAAAAAAATGTGTATTGTGTTTACATCACAGTCAATCAGAACCGAAGCCGATAGTGAATGTTGATTGTACATTTTCACACTGACGACAAAAGCCCACGTTAGTGGGTTTTTGGTCCAGTGTAAAAGGGGCTTAAGTGAAATAACAATAAGTAAAAGATATTTTTTGAGTGGAGGGGACTTGAAATGGAAACATATGCATGTTAGGAGCTGTTTCTTATTGTGGTGGAAAAACCTCTCAAACAGCATTTACACATCAACAATTTTCCACTGTGGCCCAGAAAAATAAAATTCTGTTTTCCACCTTGAGCATTAGTTTAGATGGTGCTATTAAATTGAAATATGGTTTACAGGATTACGTCCACTCTGTACTGTTCTATATATATAGAACACTGGGCAAAAATCAGTATTAAAAGTAAAGTAAAGCCACTGTGTGGGATTTTCTTATCTCTCACTTTCATGTTTCCCAGTGGGAGCAATAAAAAAAAAAAAGAGTTGGATAGCGAGAGGTATGAGTTGTGCTCACTGCATGGTGGAGCATAGGACAGTAATTATCTGACAGATTAATGGAGGAAACGCTAGTATACAGACCTTTTGCTTTTCGTGTGTGTGTGTGTGTGTGTGTGTGTGTGTGTGTGTGTGTGTGTGTGTGTGTGTGTGTGTGTGTGTGTGTGTGTGTGTGTGTGTGTGAGCTCACCAAACTGATCGTCTCTCCCTGCAGACGGTCCTCTGGGTTGGATGACTTCACTGTGGTGGAGGCAGCCTGTGCCTCTGGCTGCAACCCTCACTGCCACTTCCTGCTTCTGCTTCAGAGCATCTCCTTCAACCACAGCATCCTCCTTGACTTTCTCATCTCCACTGAGACCTGCTTCCTGGAGTACTTTGTGCGGTACCTCAAGTACCTGAGAGCTGACTGGCAGGGCTTCACTGCAGCATGTGAAAGAGTCAGCGTGTCACACTGTCATCTGTCACTGCTGGAGACACTTACCGGCTCACGTGGTGGTGATACGTCTGCACTGGCATATAAAGGTGCGCCAGATCGAGTCGAATCCAGCTCCTGTTTCCAGCCCACAGCTGTTATTCCACCAGGGGAGAGGGTTGGTTTGGTCTCTGGGCTTCGCCTTGTAGAGTATGATAGTTCTGATGAGTCTGAGTCAGAGAGCATGGAGATTTCTGAGGATGCACCAGGGGCCAGTGCGCCACCAGTGTTTACCAGACAGAAACAATATGAGTCATCTGACTCAGCAGGATTACTGAGTGAACCTAACTCCACGCTGGAGAGAAGACCAGGAGGACTTTCACTGGCAGTGTCACAGAGTGAGCAAACATCATGTACTAACATGGCACCTGTGTCGAGACAGGTAACCTGTGAAACGTTGTCCAGAGCAGTCGTCTGTCTGTCAGAGCTCAGACAGGTGGTGACGAGGCTGCAGATGAAGAAACTCTTCCCATACAACCCGTCTTCACTACTAAAGCTCTTAGCACAAGTCGACAACTGTTCCCAGCAAGCACATCAGCCACATCTGTCACAGTTCAATAAATGATGAAAATATACAATATGTGTTTTGTTCTGTTTTGATGAGGTGGGATGAAAGCTAAATGTAATGGTTCAGAGGTTTGCATGAGAGTCTGTGTGTCTTAGTTTTAGTCATGTCCAGCATGTCTCTCTGCCTTCTACCCGGTACATACTGGAACAGGCAGGTGGGCGAAGACAAGAAATCCCAGGATGCAAGACGATGACAGACGCAAAACCAAATGAAGAAATCAACATACTGTAGAAAAAAAAATGAATAGAAGACAGGGACAATTATTGCTAATACTCCTAATGGTGAACACATGAATCATGTGCTAGCATAGTAAATATGTGTCAGAAGTACTCCATTCTACACAGATGATATTCAGTTATACGTCTCATTTAAGCCTCAAACTGCAGCAATCGTTTCAGTTTTGCATACCTTTAACTTCTGTGAACATTTCATTCAACTCAGTGCTGACAAAACAGAACTTATTATTTCTGCTCCAGTCTTCTAAAGTAAAGTGATGCCTGGGGTTCTTTCTTCTGTTAAAATATTGCCTCCCTGTCTTCTCCCTGCTGGGACAGGCTCCAGCCTCACTAACCCAAACAAGAATAAGCAGGTAAATGGGATTAAAAGTCTAAATGCTAATGATAAAACATAAATCTCACTTTTGTGTTTCTGGTCCAAGTAAGTTTGTTAATGTGTTGTCTTCTTCACCTCAGCGTGGTGTGGGTTCATCACTGCCCCCTGAGCCCAGAGGGGGAAAAACACCCACTGATACTTGAAAGAGTTTCTCACCAATTGTGGGTGTCTTGGCAACTGTGCAAAACATTCCCAGTCCACTCCCACTGTAGGATTCAGCTTCCATACCCCAGGTAGGGACACCTGCTCCTCCCTGATGTGGATGGAGATGTAGAGGGAGGGGCTGGATGTTTGTGTGAAAACTGAAAGCTGTAGCTGCCTTTATTCTAGCAGCAGGAAAACAGTTGATGCAGAAGGCTGAATGACTTTGCCATTGTTCATGGTGTTTTTTCTGTGTCTGTGTGTGATTTGTTAAGTCGTGATGTGCAGAGCGTCTTAAAATGAACTGGTTGTAAAAAAAGGCACAACTAAATAATGTGAAACAGTTCTTGTGAAACCATAGGGCAAATAGTGAAGTGTATCTGTTTATAGTGAAGCAATTTACTTGCTCTTTGGCCAGTGCATGAGAAGCAGGCCTCCTCCCTACCTCCTCTCAGTGTATAAATGCTTAAAACACAAGTAAAAACATTAGTTTTACAGCTGGATGTTAGCTGAGGAAACCTGGGAATTGTGTGTTTGTATTTGCCTCGCTCTGTACAGCAACTCCAGCATTCTACTTCATGTAATAGCAGTTTGCAGGGAGTTTACTGAGTAGCCAGCCAGAGGGAAAAGTAGACCACTAAGGGATTTTTACAGTGGCAAGTCTAATTCTTCTGGTCAGGCCATTTTTCCCAAGTCTATAAATGCCTGAAAAAAAGTCTGGAAGTAGATTTGCAAAGGATCGGGGGTTGACTGGGAGTTGCCATTTAGATTGAGGTGGATTTGACTGTCAATATAAGGAGTAAAGAGGTGGCTGTGCAAGTGAAAAATGAGGCTTAAAAAAACATCAAATGTGAGAGGTATCACATGCGAGAGGTTTGTCAAAATCAAAAAGTTGGTTTCATGCTTTTTATGAAGACATCAATGTTCCAGTTATTGTTTGTTCCTCCTCATGACAACAGGCGCAAAACAAATCCATAAATGTTGAATTTGTTTAACATAAACAGAGTACATTAAGTGGACACAGAGTAGTTTTATTTATCAGGGAAAGATGAAGCCACAGTAAGAAAGATGAGGTTCTTAGATGTATCTGTGGAGATCATTTGAATGTAACACTAACAAATGTTTTTTGAGCAGTCTGGAGCGTGTTATTGATGAGAACCAGCAGGTGGCAGCAGAGTCATAATGACTCTGTCCCAGCAAGAGATTTTCAGGTTGCGGTCTCTACCAGAGCTGTTCTCCAAGCTCCTGTTTTTTTTTGACAGATTTTGCTAAATATTTTCAGTGCCGTGGCCTCCCATGAGATCTTATTATGTAAAATACAACCCACAAAAATAACAGTTTTTGCTGCTGTTATTGTCAGATTTATCTTAGCTGGAAGTTCAGGATATTTTCTCAGCTTGACTGAAGTTTCGAAACAGAAACAGGCCTCAGTTCTCCCTAAATGAAGGGGAGGTTTATTGTCAGAGGGCCTGATTGAATTATCCTGCAGCTCAGCATTCATCATATGCTCTACTGTAATGCATAATTGTCAGCATAATGTAAGAGGTCACATTAGCGGGCAGATTTTTAATCATTAATATTTAATAACAGTAATGGCCCTATAAGAGTGCTGGAGATAATTGCATACTTATGGATTTAAGACTTGAAAGCATTGCATTATCTTTCACCTTTTCACGTTGACCTGTCAGATAGGATAGAAATCATTTGATGGCTTCTTGACTGAAAACAAAAACCTATACATACAGTACAGTATAGCTGTTTCATCCTTATAGGAACTTTCCAGGTATCTTTCCATGTGGCTGTCATGTTAATCATTAGTTAGGAGTGTCATCAAAGGCTTCTGTTGATTTAGTGTGACAACGAGTACGAGTACATTGTTTGCTCTGTCAGTACACACACCCACCGTGAACCACGTAGGGATGGAGCTGACTGTAAACCCACATAAAGCATAGCATACCTACTTGTTTAGAGTAGCTTTTGTCCATTAATCTACACTTAATAATCCATAATGACAAAATGAACACAGGTTTTTAAAAATGAAAACCAAAATCAATCAAAATATTTCATTTCAAAAAGTATTTTAGACCCTTAATTTAATACTTTGTAGATGCATCTTTGCAGAATTTGCACTGAAAACGACACCAAGCTACAAGCACACACACACAGACACACACACCCACCACTACACGTCTACGTCTGACGGTCGGTTAACTCGATATAACCGCATGGAGATGCCCACGCAGTCAGTGCACCTTCCACCTACCATCATGCACTTGGCATTTGTTATTCAAATTTCAACTGATGGTGCAAAATATGAAACTGAGGGTGCAGTGCAAGCTGTTGCACCCTTATTGAACTGGGCCTTCAGTGGAATCCTGCTGTTGCCGTATAAGTGCGTGACAAGATCTGTTTCCTCTACAGAGAAGTGTTCTGTCTCACTGCCCGCCAAATCTGCCGCTATAATGTGCAGGCACATCTGGTTTTTAAAGGAAATGGGAGATGGCACTCTGATTGGTTTATTGCATGTTACGCCCAAAACACAGCCGTGATTATTTAAGAGACTCAGTACAACCCTTTTGCAGTGTGACTGTTTTTCCTGCTGTTAAATAAGCTGTAGTGGACTTGAACACAACCTAAAATGCACTTGCTCCACATGTTTTAGACCATATTAAAATAGAGCCCTTCAACTTTTGATTTTTAATGAATTTCCATCTGAAGCTATGCACCGTTTTTTTTAAAAAAAAAAAAATGATGTCAGTTTATAAGAGATACAGTGTAAGTGTTATCAGCCTGGCAGAAATTTTGCCATTATAAATCACATTTTTCTGGTGAAAATGTTTGTGTGTTTGCCACAGAGAAACTGACATTGTCGGAGCTTTTGAATGTCTTTATAGTATTGCAGTAAATTGAATTTATTAAGGGGGGGTTAAGTTGTTCCTGAAGTTGAAGCAGAGAAAGAAGATGAAATGACAGTTAAAATGGAAGTGCTGAGTTGTAAGGGCAAGTAAGTGCTGGATGAAGTTGAGTAAGAGTTTGTGCATAAATCCTGGGTTGAAGCTGAAGTATCCGTTGAAGTGAAGCTGCTGAAAGCAGTTTGAGAGTGAGTTCAAATTCAAGCTCTGAAAAGACTTCAACTTTAAATACTAAAAACAGATTGTAAACAGTACTAGGAGTTGAAGTGTCAGATGAAGCGTGCTGAAAGTAATTAAAGTATTGCATGAAGTGTAAGAGCTAGAGGAGTTTGAAATGTTTCAGAGTAAAGGTTGGGGTCATATGAGTGCAAAGTGTCTAGAGGCGGGAGAGGTGTAAGTGCTTAAAGCAGTTAAACTGTCAGTTGAATATTTAAGGATCTGAAGTTAGTTGATGTGGAAGCACAGAAAACAGCAGGGATTTAAAACAAAGAGTGCCTTACCATGAATAATAATAGGTTGTTTGTACAAGCAGCTGATTATGACCCATAGTGATGTCAAGAAATCATGTAAGACAGCATCGGTCTTTTCAGCAAATGCCCCAAAACAACATATACAGACAAATGAAAGCAGGAGAAATGAGTGGAGGAACAGGATTATAATGCCTCCACGAATGGTCACTGATGGTTTGATGAGTATGACAGTGATGTGAATCATATGCTGTGGCCTTCACTGTCACCAGATCTCAACCCAATTGAATACCTGTGGGAGATTATGGAGCGACGCATTAGACAGCGCTCTCCACCACCTTCATGAAAACACCACAGGAGGGAAGAATGGTGTTCAAGCAGGTGACGTTGTTATATAGTGACGGATGTGTTGACGAGACATTGGACTTAAACCTGGGGGACTGCTTTTCGTTTCATGTTTCCAACCGATAGTAAATGTAAATGTAAATCTTTTAACCATGACCAAGAATGTTCTATAACTTCAACCATGCGTTTATTATTGTAACCATGATGAAGGTCCTGTAACTTTATCTAAGTACATACTTGAACCCAAACCACGGACTTTCCTTAAAGCCAACCAAGTTGCTTTGATGCCTAGACTTCACCAAACCTTTACCACAGCATTGTCACAACAGAAAAGGCCTGGTTATTTATTTTGAACAGTTTCTTTGTGGTGAATTTCTTGGAGCCATCGGAAACAGGAAACGCTCCTATGGGTCGTATCAGAAGGGGAAATACATGGTATGCATACATGGTAGATATACATTAGGTAGATATAAATATAATGTATATAGTGGGGTTATTGTATGTACTACATATCAGCACT